GTTGCATGTTAACATACATGTAAATAAGTCACATATTTGACATAAATAAATTGCAAATTAACATAGATAAAATGCATGTAAACCAAATTACCTTGCAAGTTGACAAATAGTTGATAGTTGATAAGTTGATAAATATGTTGCATGAAAACAATTATCTTGCATCTTAACAGAAAGAAGTTGCATGTCAACATAATGTCGCATCCTGTATCATTGAGGACAGATACTGGCGTTAGTGAGGAAATTTACTCGTTTTAAAATTATTCTCTTTGGAACTTGCATGTTCACATAATTTTCTTGCTTGTTGTCATATTTTTCATGCATATTGACATATTTTTCATGCATATTGACATATTTTTCATGCATGTTGACATGATTTATTTTGCATGTAGGGTCATGGGGAAGATGTAATACCTTAGTTCTAATTTTTATCCCTTACAGTTTACATGTATTGTAGTTTCATATGAAAAGCTGTGGTAGCATATTTCTGCTTACTACATGCATGATAAATTATGTCAACATGCATTAAAAATATGTCAACATGCAAGATTATTAAGTCTTCTTGCAAGAAAATTATGTTAACATGCAAGTTGCCATCTTATCAAAGAGTGTAATTTCAAAAGGGGTGAATGGCATATTTGTATATAAATCCCTATCTTAACTTTATCAAAGGTGAAAAATATATTTTTAATCTAATTCTGCACATGTACTTGTATCTACTAGTGTACAAAAGTGATCTGTCAGCAGACATTAACAGTCTACAGATCCACATGCAATAATTCACAAATTATGCAGGAAAAACGTTCATTTCTTTTTATCATTACTGTCAAATATGAGTCACTTTCAATGAGTAAACGCAAGCTACGTCAGAGAAATTAAAGGTGCATAAAATGGATACAATCGAAATGCAAATTATGCATATATGCAAGTAAATGATCGTTGCAAAATTTCTTTTTGTAGGAAAATAGGAAGAAAAGATTAATTAATTGAAAAAAAAAATCAACATGGAGTAATCGTTCCCCACTGATGGTCAGTGAAGGAGATTTTCCATACATAAGCACTATCAGAACGTTTCCTTGAAAGTCTTATTGAGGACAATTTATCATTACTAATAAGGAAATGGACAAAAGAATTGATATAGCCAATTAGTGGACTAAAACACAGTATTATAGTATGCATAATGAAATGAATTCTCGTCTACTACACGTCTGTGTCGATTGGTAAAAAAATCACTGTTACCTTAGATCCATAAATTCACTTACAATGGAATTCTCTGGGGTTGTATACATTGGAAGATTTAGTTTAACGAGAAAATGTATGTCATACCAGTAACCCCCCTAAATTGATTAACATCCGATTTGAATATTTGCGGTTAGCCATAAAATAAGTCGCAGATTCATTTGTTTTCAACAACCAGTGATAAGTCTTTTTATTTTCGTTTTTCTTTTTCTTCTTGCAATTATGTAATTCTATCATTTAATAGACTCTTAAATAGTTTTGACGGAAGCTTAAATCTGTCACAATACACGTTTTCAACTATAATTTGGACAGTTCATACATATGTAAGGCAACCTGTTTAATACTTAGATATCTCGCATACTTCGTAAATGTCTTTAAATTACCTTTGCTTGTTACACTATTGCACTTTTGGATATACATTTATTCGTAGAATGAAACAAAATAAATTAAATTTTATGCAAGATTTATCTGCAAAACTCCTTTTCAGTTCCGTCCTTTTATGTTGTAGGCGCTACAATGCCTATATTGTGTAAAGGTAATAATAACGCAAAATGTGAATGTAATCATTTTGCATTGATATTTGCAATAATTCTATTTTTGTCCAGATATCGATATTGCTCTTCAGATATTGAGATTATTTGTAGATAAAATATACGTGAAGTCATCAGGCGCGGATCCAGGATTTGAAGTTAGAGGGGGCGCCAAAAAAATAGGCAAGGGGTTTTATGCCCCCAGTGGGTCCAGGACAAAGCCCTTTTGGGGGCCGTCCTTTTATGCCCCCGGAAGCTACTGGATTCTAGAGATTTTGTAGGGTAAAAATAAGGTCAACCAATGTGAATGTAATATTT